CCTGAATCTATAGGATGGTCCAAAGGTCACTGAAAACACTAGCCTGAAACTGTGACCTAGTCTGTATCAGTGGTCCTCGAAGCATGTTCTTCTGGTTTTCATGACAAAATACTTGAGAAAATCAACTTCAAAGTAGAAAAGGTTTGTTTCACTCATGGTTTTAGAGTTCAGTCCATGGTTACTAGGGTTTGTGGCTTTGGACCTGTGGCAGCACAGTACATCATGGGGAGAGTGTGGCGCAAGAAAGAGGAGGCCTGATTACTGCATGGTGGCCAGGAAGCAAAAATAGAGACAAAGGAAGAGATCCATGTCCCAATATCCCATTCATCTTACTACAGATCGAGTTTCCTTTTAGTAAGTAACACCTCCCAAGGCTCCCACCACATCCCAGTACTGCCACAGGCTGGCAACCAAGCTTTTAATCCATGGGTCCTTGGGGGATATTAAAAATCCAAACTCTACCATCCAAACCCTGATCTCACAAAGGTTTGTTCTCAACTCATAACACAAATGCACTTAGTCCTTTTGCAGAAGTGTTGAATGTCTAAATATTCCATCACTGCCAAAAAGTCCAAGTCCAGTCTCTTCTGAGACCAAGGCAGACTCAGCTATGCATCCCTATAAAAATCAAAAAGTAAGTTACATGAATGAAGATGCAATGGTACAGAGTAAATGATCCAATTCTAAAATAAAGCCAATAGGACTCAATTCTAAAAGACAGGAGTAGGAAGGTCAGACAGAAAAAAGACCAGAATCCAGCGGTGCAAACATTAAATACTATAGCTCTCCATGCAACAACTGGGAGCAGCCTACCTCTGTGACATACTGGCTGCAGCCCTTGGGTGGCAGTGCTCATGGGCTGGCTGTGTAGCTTCTGTTGGCTGGTATTCCCCATTCTTGGCATCTCTGCTTTCCAGGGGTCTCCACTACAGCTTTAGTTTCACCCTCACAGGTTCATTATGCATCACTCTGTCATAGGCTGCTTGCAGCAACTACGACTTTTCCCTTCGCCACATCCTCCCTGGCCTCCCAGGATTTCCTTTGAAATCTTGGTGTAAGCTTCTATGACCCCGTAAGTTTAATAGTCTGCACATCACCATCATCCCAACCACAGCTGTAATGGTCTCAGAGTGCCGGATGGCTGAACATGAGGAGGCAAATCCCAAGGAAACTATTCCCTGGGCACCCTGTGTAAGCAGAGCACCTGGAGGCTTTCTTCTCAAATAAAGTCTTTAAGACAAGTTTCTAGTCTTATACCTTGAGTCTGTGATGGTGAGGTCTTGCCAATCCGTTTATAACATCTTTCCTATTACCCTGATGGTATTTGACTTCTTTCTAACAGCACTAATTTATTTAGCAGCTACACTCTCCTTTTCTGGATGACCTAAAAGTTTTTAAAATCTTTTCGCTTTGAGCTTTTGCTCCCAATTATTACTATAAATCTGGCTAAAAGTAGCCAGTAGTGCCCAGGCCTGCATGAATGCTGTGATTCTCTGAAATTTCCTCTGCTAGATAAACAAGTTTGTGACCTTTAACTCGGCCTTTTGCAAAGTCTCAGAGGATGAACATAATGCATTTAAGTTCTTTGCCAGAGTGGAACATGAGTGGCCTCTAGTCTAATTCCCAATGCACTCCTAATTTCCATCTAAGACCTCCTGAGCATAAATCTTTGCTGTCCACATTTCTATCAGAATTCTAGTCCTCTGAGGTCTCATCAGAAACTTTAATTAAGCTCTGCTTACAGCATTCTAGGCTTTCTCTAAGTTTCTTTCTCCAAACTTTTCCAAATTCTTCCCATGAAACTATTCCAAAAAATTCTGAATTACATAGCCAGGTATAGTCACAGCATTGACCCCACTTCTCATTACTAATTTCTAGGTATGTTCCAATCCAGTCAAAGTGACAGCCAAGATGAGCCACCACACCGGGAGCCTGTGAGAAATGTGAGATCTTAGGTCTTACTCCAGACTGACTAAAGCACAGGCTAAGCATGGACCTCAGGTGTTTTGGACCAAAAAGTCCTGCTTGTGGCTCTGATGCATGCTGAAATTTGAGGACCACTGTCCTAGAGCCGTGGTGACGAACCTATGGCATGCATGCTTCAGTGGATACCCAGAGCCCTCTCTGTCTGCACGTGAGTCAAGTTGCCCCAGCTGAGGTTTGACAAATGATCAGCGTGCACACAAAGCAAAGATCACATTAATTGTGCAAAAGCACACCAAATGCAATTTCCCACCTTCATTTCAAAGAAAGCTATTTGTATCATTGAAAGCTCTGTTATTGTGTTTTTTTTTTAAGACAAAAGATGTTAATGTATGAGTTGTTTATTTTCTTTTTCTAAACTAAAATATCAGTGTTCAGGTTTAATTACAGTGTTGGCACTTTGTGATAAATAAGTGGCTTTGGGTTGCAGTTTGGGTGCTCAGTCTCTAGAAGGTTCGCCATTGCTATCCTAGAGATTTTAGCACCAGGATAGACTTTGAAATGTTTTTACAGGGATAAATGCTCTGATGCTTCAAATTCTGACATTTATATACATTCTTCAGGCAATATTTGAAAATATTGGAAGAACAAATTGGAATAAAGGTATTACTGACATGCTTTACTTGAAGCCAGGTAAAGGAAAAAACTGAAAGGAAAAAAGGAAAAAACTGAAAGGAAAAAAGGGCTTGCATCAGGTTAATGAGCATCCATTTTGCTTAGCGACTCATGTGTTGCCAGACCTGAACAATGCCTGTTTGTGACCATCAGGGCAGGGTGAGCTAGAGGATTTGTGTGGGATTGGAAAAGATGAAATAGTCTCAACATTTAATAGAAAATAGCTTTTTCCAGGACATACCAAATAGTGCTACAACTCCCTCTGAACCTCAAAGCTTCCAATATATAGCAGAGTTTTCCAACCATGTAGGGAAATGGATGTAGAAGTAAGGGGTCCTGGAAGCCCACATACCTTTCCTTTGACCAATAGCAGTCCTTTTATTCTTAAACCAAAAGAATTGTAAAGGGCAAATATCCTGCAGCCTCTATTTGCTCACAGGGCATAGTAGAAGACCCCATAAAATCCTTAATCCCGGGGGCAGTCTCGCTTACTTGGATGGAAATGAGGAAGGTAAAGCTATGTCACTCGAGTCCTGCTGCCTGATGCTTCCACTGGTCCCACCTTGCACCCAAAGGGTCAGGTTCATAAATGATCTCACCTCACACGTTGGCCCCTATTTATGTCCTTCATGGGGAGGTGAGACGAGATTGCATGGATCAGCTGGGGAGATCTGAAGCCTAACCTTTAGGTCACGAAGATCTCAAGTATGTTTTACTGCCTGTTTTTGTTTCATGTTCTGTCTCTAAAGCTCTTCCTTCCTGGGTAAAATTGACTGTCTTTCTCCTTCCCCTGACACGGCCGACACCAGGATGGGGTCCCTTTATCAAGACAGTGTGCCCTGCTACAAGGGGTGCACACAGACTGCAAGAAAAAAGTTAGGGATGAGAAGAGAATTGATTTCTGTGACAGACAGGGTTGAGGCTATGGGAAGGCAAGCAAGGCCCATGATGTGCCTGCCTTGGGCACAAAATTTAAGTGTTGCCTAAAAGGTCAATAATCAACATAAATGATACTTTGATGCAGTACTTTAAAAAGTCAAATTAAGGCCAAAAATGTATGACGAACAAGATACCACAGTTTTCAATAAGGGAAAGCTGGGTATTACTGATTTTCCTGGACCAGATTTCAGTCATTCTATGCAACACTGTGACTATCAGCTACAATGCTAGTGACATGTTCTGCTGTAAGTAGAATAGACAGAGGGTGACTTGTAATAGCTAATTCTCTGGGGACAGATTTCTTAGCAGAGAGAGAGAGATTTTAAAAAGACAGAAGAAAAGATGCAGTGAGCATTTATAAAGTATGAGGCATTGTATTAAGCACATCACATGTGTTAATTCATGCAGTCCTTGAAACGTTATGAAGTCAACTCCATCTCCACCAGCACTCTCCGGTTAAGGTCACGAAACATGGAGAAGTTGGCTTCGCTGTCCAAGGTCACCTAGTAAGTGGCAAAGCTGGGAGATAAATGAACGCACGCAAGCCCGTATTTATACAGAGCATGAAGACACGAAAGAGAGAAGGGAAGCAGGGAACAAATGAAAGGGAGCAAACGTGGTAAAGGATCCTTTGTGTTCAGGGACAGCGGAGGACAGCTGAGGAAGCTGGCTGTTTGATGAAGCCCAGTTAACATCTTTGAACAGAAGACAAAAGCATATCTGAGACTCTTGCTGCCGTGCTGGCGCACAGTATCCACTTAATGTTGGTTGTTTTCACGTCCTGACATCCGCCGGCTGACGAGGAAATGCTTAGCATGCCATGAAATGAGCAGGAGCCGGGCTGAGCAGACACAAACGCGGCTGATGGCGGAGACAGACACGGCGGCTGCTCAGGGCGTCCACCCTCCTCCCGAAACAGGTCTCCCTCTGCCTCGCAGGATCTAAATCTTTTCTGTAGAACTCAAGAAATAACACACCAATAGGGGCATATATTATTTATTTACTTATTTATAGGTTATATCTGTGCGTATGGTGTAAGTATTTTAAACCCGGCCCGGCTCAGCGCAACCAGAGTGATGTCTCAATTGCAGGAGGAGCTGCGTGGAGCAGGTTTAAGTATGACAGATGGGACGACCTCCCTGGCTTGGTAAACCGCACTGAGGGGAAACCGAATAGCCCTGAAATGAGAACGGGGCTGGAGGGGGGCATGCCGTTGTAATATTACGGGAACAAGACGCAGAGAAAAGTAATTTACTCTGAAGTGACAGTCTGAAAGTGAAAAATAAACTAACAGGAGGGAGCTTAGGCTCATTAGTAGCCTGGTCTCAGTATTTCATTATTAATGATAATAAAAAGAAGCCAGGAGAGAGAAGCAGCATATGAGCATGCGTGCCTCCCCCCCCCCCCCCCCCCCCCCACAGAGCCAGCTTGGAGGCTCCCAGTAGCATTGGCTCCACACTCACCTTTAATCCAGGCACAACAAAAACCCCTTCCAGAGGAAGCAGGCACCAGACAGGATGAGGAACAGTTTGCACTGGTTCTGCTCTGCCCACAGCTATACAGCTGAATTGGGGATCCATCTGTGGGACTCCAGCTGATTTATTAGAAGCCGTGCCTCAGGCAGGGAAGCCCCTGTTGATGCCCTGCAGCTGGACCTGGGTGGGGAGGCCACTGTGCTGTGCTGCCCTGGGATTTCTCCAGCAACCCCCTCCAGGCGGAGACAGTCACTCCTGACTGAGGTAGTAGATTGTCTACACCTACACATGGGAGGACCACAGATACTGGGAATTAATCTCTGTGGTCTGGCTATGCAAGAAAACATGATACATCCAGAGACTGTGGCTGTCATCTAAAAATACTACAGTAAGAAACCAGGTGGGATTCAATTTAAATTAAAATGGCAAAGGAGCTATCAAGTTCTACCCATTGTCCAAAAAAACAGAAAATGAAAATTGCCCTCCATGCCACCATTTTGCCTTTCCTGAGGATTATTGTGCTGTGAGTAACCTGTCGGTTTTCTTCTTGATGTTGACCCTCACAAGGAGCCAGCTTGTTTTCTTGGGCCGTTCTGAGACATGCTTCCATGGCGATGTTGACTTTAGTACTCTGAGCTCATCTTTGCTGCTGCTTTCATGTAATGGCAACTGGAAACATATCCAAGAGCATCTTTTCTGTTATTTGTGCCCTTGTAATTTATGAGTTTGGCCAAGTTATTTTGCTAGCAATAGATACATGAAGGGCTCTACCTACCACTGTGCTAAGTACTGCACCGGGTTCAATTACGTATGAAAATGAACCAAATTCATGGTCTTTTCCTTCTTGTAGCTTTAGTGACTATGAGGAAGTAGACATATTAATAATCAAGTTATAACTAACTGCATTCTGGCATGAACAAAGTGATCCAAGTGCTCTAAAGGAGATAGGGAATGTGAATGTTATGTTCCCTAAGGGGCCTAATAAACTTTCTGGGAGGAAGTGACATTTAAGCTGAGACCAGAGTAGAAGAGCTGCCGGTTGGATGAGTCAGAGGCAGAAGCGAATTCTAAGCAGAGAGACTGCCAGCGTGCAGGTCGAGATCACCAAAGAGCTCCCTCATTTCTTATTAAAAAAGGAGGAAAAGGTCAGTGTCCAGGAGCACAGAGCTGAGGACAGGACAGCTTGTTTGTGACCAGAGGGTGGAGGGCTGTTCTGAGGTCCCTTCAAGGTCAAGGGAATAGCTTGAATTCTATTCTGAGGTTGAAAGGATGCACTGAGTTTGTTTAAATCAAAGGAGAGGCATAGATGGACTTAACTTTTAAAGCAATATTTCTGTCTGAAGCTTGCAGGATGAATTGGGGGCAAGATGAATCTGGAAGACAGACATGCCAGAAGGCTCCTAGGAAGGACAGAAAAAGGTAGAACAGAGATAGAAGGATGGGTAGAGACTTAAGGCTGGTTTCAAGGAAGATGACACAAGAGGTGGTGAAAATGTGTGAGGGAAGCATTAGGTAGGTCTGGAGTGTCTGGCTACACCCTTTGGCGATACTCTGCGGCATAGCAGTGGCAGTGCAGTCAGTGGGTAGAGACACAGATACACTTCTCTCCGAATCAGGTAACACATGATCAGATCTACTCACTGTGTTTCTGCGGGCAACTGTATCTGGCTCTGGGGAACAGGTTTCTCTTCTGCATCTACAGTTCAGGAAGCCTTCCTTCTTGCTGTGATTGTGCCTGTATTCCTACATACCCAGGTGCTTGTGGTTTTTCTCCTCTAAATTCAAGACTGACTGACTTCTGAGGTGGTGCTTCAAGAACAGTAGTTATCTTTGCCTCATTGTAGGGCTGGTCACATTGACATTGACTGGACCTTGTTAGGAATGTGAAAAGTTGGACCCAACCCAGGTCTCCTGAGCCAGTAACTGTGGAGATACAGGTTTAACCATCAGTCAAATGATTCTGATTCCCACTAAAGTGGGCCTGCTTTGATGCTACACTGGCCATACTGTCCATGTAGGAGTTGTATGTGGTTTCTGAGTGAACAAAATGTGTCTAGCCTGAATTGAGATGTATAACTGTTAAACACATCATATTTCAAAGACACTATAAAAAGAAAGAATGTAATATTTCTCATTCATCATTTTTATATTGACACAAATTGAAATAATATTTTCTGTATTTGAGGTAAAATATATTATTAAAATTCACCTCATCTATTTCTTCTTACTTTTTAATGTGACTTCAAGACATCTAAAAATCACATGTGTAGTACATGCTATACTTTTAGTATACTACTCCAATTTCAGGATGCACAAGAGTTACCCAGCCATCTTGTTGAAATGCAGGTGTAGGTCTGGGGTGATTCCTGGAATAGTGCACTTCTACAAGTTCGCAGGTAATGGCCATGCTGCTGGTCTGTGGACCACACTTTGGGTAGCAAGGCACTAACATGTGCTGAGGAAGTATCTGAAAGCAGGTATCACTGAAAAACCACAGACAATACAATTGACACACTTGTCTTTTAGTCCCAAGTCTGCCTGTCATTAGCTATGTGACCTTAGCCCAGTTATCTCTTCATGGAAAATGAAGATGATAGAGACAACCTTGCAGTGTCATTGCAAAATTAGAATAAAATGATGTTGATGGAATTATTAATATATTAACACAAACAAGTGAATCTTAATTATCAGTCAATACCCCACCCAGACATACTGGGTGAATGATGCATAGAAGTAAATTCCCCAGTATCTAAGATAATTTAGGGATTTAAAAAAGGTAGCACAGGTACATAGTATGCCAAATCACCTCCAAATTATTTCTCCTGGATTATCTGATTCATTGTAGCCACGTAGTCATCTGAGAGGGACAATAGTATTAGGTAAGCATTTCTCTCAAAAACACTTGGTGCCTGGGGTTTGAGCTTACTCTGCCACCTCCCTAAAGGATGAACTCCTAAAGGAAAGCATACCCTAAGTGTCCAGGTGAAGGCACAGCTCTAGGTGTCAGGATCAGAGCTAGGACACTCCTTCAGGTCAGACTTCATCAGTAATTAGCAAGCAGCCAGACTCCTAGGAGGAGCCACTTTGTGACCTGAGGGATGGAGAACAGAAGTGTCCATGTGACTGTGTCATCATTAGGAAGATGAGGAAGGCAGAGAAAGATGCATGAAGTGATAGGCCCTGAGAGCATTGTTGTCACGCTGTGTTGGCAGCATCCATACGGTCACGATCAGCCAAGCTTTCTCTCTACAGCTCTAGTTCTGAGCACACCAGACAGCAAGAGAGGACAGTGAAAAGCTCAGAAACTGAGCTTGTATTGTAGCCAGTACTGTGCTAGGTTCTCAAGTTGGAAATATTGTAATTTCTTCAATAGAAAGAGAAACTTGGTTAGCTGCTAGTGCGAGATCACCTCTAATTTACACACACACACACACACATAGACACACACACTGAGTTATCTAGTCCATCTCCAGTTTAGCAAGAAAAGGTATGATACAGAATTTCTTCTTCATGGCGGTTATTAAGAGATTAATTTGGGATTTGGGGACAGGGAGGGGAGGTCATCCCTGGGCTTTTCTCAGTTTTCTCTAGAAAGAACAAGATTTCTGGCCTAAAACATCAATTGTTAGCCTCACTGATAGCATTTGATACACATGTACAGAAAGCTGCATAAATCCAGAACCATGGCAGTCAGTGGAAAAAGATGCAGAAGAACAAGCTTTATTTAGGGGGTCCCTAAACCATAGACAGTGGACCTTAGATACATCTTTGAAATGAGAGGGTGCGAAAAATGATCCACAAGGTCCCCTCAAGTCATAACTGCTATTCTAAGGGGTAATTTTGCTTATATGACCTGAACACCCTAGTAAGAAACCTCATGGAATCTGTGTAGAGCTGATGAACTGCAGAAGGACCAGGGTGGTAGTGCCATGAAGGTGCCCCAGAGAATCAGAGTCTAAGAGAACCCAGAAAGGCTCTCAGGGTCAGCAGATCTCTCACTGTCCACTGCTCAACGTCATGAAATGGAAAAGTTGCAGAAGAGTTTCAGAGTGGGACCAAGGTGGAAGTGAGTGGGGCACAGGCCGTCTAATTACATGTGAAGTTTCTCATGGGTCCTCTAATTCTCTTACACCTTCATTTCCCCATCCAAAGGCAGAAATCCCTGTGCTCTCTTCCCTTTCTTGTAATCAACTATGTTCTCCAAGAAGGATCTGATCATTTTAATCCCAAGAAAAAGAAAGACATGAACATGTAAGAGCTAACAATGACAGGCACTTACACCAGGCATCTTTTTTAGCCTTTGGAACTAGGGTCAAGACTAGGAAGAAGCTAGCAAGGCACCTACTTGCTCAGGATGCAAAACAAAAGGTGTTCATTCCCCTGCTGTGGTTCAGGATTTACTCTTATAGGACTTGAAAGTGGGTCATTCTTAAATTGTGCACTCAGATAACTCTCTCACTTTACTGCACTTAACTTCTGGGTCCATTTATGCTCATATTTTACTATCATAAACATAGAACCAGTCATAGAGAAGAAGTTTGAAGTTGTTCACACAGCTCCAGAATTGAAATTAAGACTCATCTGTTTGCTTTGTTAAATAATGACTAGTGGCATAGACCTGGAAGCATTTAGGGGAGCATTTAGAATTCTGACATGTACCCTTGTTAGCTGGTATTCTGAACCAACTTACTTAAATACTCAGCTCTAGTTTCCTCATCTGCAAAAAGGAGGCAATAGTAGTACCTACTGCATATCACTGTAACAGGGGTGCTGCGTGTCACATGCTTACAACATTGCTTGGAATAAAGGAATCAGTACATAAGGACTTGATGACTATTGTGTTGATGATGATGCTGGTGATGATGCTTTTCACAGTAATGATGCTGCTGCTGATGGCAATGACATCATGACCAATGCTGGCCTTTGTTATACCATCGGATCACATTGCCTGATAATGCTCAGCATGCTTTTGTTCTCCTGAGATCTACATTTTAGCAAGAATATCTGAAGTACAAGATCTCTAACACTAAATTGTTAGGTATTATGATTGA